TTAAACGAGGCGGTGATCTGCAAAGGAGATTGCACCAGATGCAAAGTTTAATTTAATTTTGCTTGAGCATGCAAAATAAATACCTGAGTTAAATAACAGCAGACGAATTTTATATATTTAGCGCATTATCACTTTCACGTTTTTCAATTGTTCTCGTGTCAAATACCCTTATCATTGATAATTGGGTATGTTATAGAGGAGTAGTAATCGGAATTGGATGGTTTAGTTAGCATTTCTTCACATCTAGAATCAATCAGACCCTACCCAAGGGTCCGATGGAATGCGCAGCACTGACGATTCCCGAAAAGAGGAAACGCGCGTCCAGTGGTTTTCCGGGTGTGTGATGGCTGTCTGAATTAAGCATGAATCTGTGCTTTCGTTCCAGACCAAATGGGCATCCAAAATTCTCGATTCAAGGAGTTAGTATTCTGGAGGCACGGGTTCAAAGGTGAATTCCTCGAAATGGGTTTTTAATGTGCAGATACTTGCTATCTTGACATCTGCAAAGCCTGCGAAACGAAACTACCTTCGTCACTGTTGGGATTAATATTCTGGACATAGTAGGAGGTAGACAAAGTTGAAACTCGGGATGTATTAATTTAATGATGGTGACTTGATCACCAGTTAGCTGAATTCACTGAGCGTCGTCTACTGCCAAGGCTAGGAGTTTAATGCAACAAACATTTGACATGTTCCCACCTCTTTTCTGGTGATCAGGAAGAGAGTTTCACCATAGTTAAATCTTACTTGGAGATACGGTTGCATGCAGCAATCTAAATACAAACTTGGTATTACTGGCAGTGGTAGTGAAATTTCCATGTTCTGCACCTTAGCGTACTTTCAGGTTACACGTCTTATAGAAAACAATGACCATGAGGCTGCCGAAGAATATTACGCAGAAACGAAATATTGGCTGGCATATCTGAAGAGAACACATATCGGTGTATTCCATTAAGGTCTTTCGATGTACAAAGGATGCGTAGAATCTATGCTCGATTTCTTATTAGTTCCAGAAACCCAATTGTCTAAGCACACAGTGCCATTATCCGTCAGCGATGTGGCCAACGATAATTTACGCTTCGACTAATCCAGCAAGCCACATAATTTAGGCAATTAGGGAAGAAGGGCTATATCCTAGTCAACTGTCATTCATGAAGACCCGTAGCTGTCACCCATAGCGAAGTGGCACTGGCTGCTGGCACCCTGAATCCATGGGGGCGGAACCCGCCATGCGTCCGCTGGGAAGCGCACTACTTATGAGACCCAGAAGGTCGAAACGCTGGTGCCTAGTCTTTTCCAGACTAGCCTAAACCTGCTGATTGGGAGGGACGGTGACGCATTTGCTGGATTACACCAAAATCCTCGCTACTATTCATCAGTAACATAAAACCTGTCTGGATAGCTTCTGTCCTATGTCGTACATAGGCGCCGTGCGGAAAGTTCTAGCTCGTGAGGCTGAGCACTGTCCTCTGCACAGTTCGTAACTGGCATGGCAGTGAAAGATTATCCGGGCTCTAGCATAGTCAACCGTCAGTCATACAGCACCGTGGCTGTTACCCATAGCGAAGCGACTCTAGCTGTTGATATCCTGAAGCCATGGGGCGGAACCCGGCAAGCGTCCGCTGGGAGGCGCACCAAGGATGAGATCCGGAAGGTCGAAAAGCCGACGTCTGGTGCTTTTCCAGACTAGCCTAAGTCTGTTGATTGGGAGTGAGGATGATGAATTAGCTGAATTAGAGCAGACACTTGAGTCCTGGTTTAAGATATGTGTAAACAAGCTTGGCTTGCACTTAACCGCTATTGTCCAAAAGATTTAAACACGCTAGACCGTTCCAAGGGCATGAATCATTCTGCAACAACCATAGAACAGAAAGTTGGAATCCTCATTCTTGCCGAGTCCCTTTACACGGCAATTTGTAACCCGATACTCGTGTGCTCCTGTAATACTAACTTGCTCAAGCATGAGCATATAACTTTTGAGGAAGGGGCATTTGTCTTTATACTTCACAGCCTTTTGATTCGACCACCTTTAATTTCTGGCAATGAAACTTTTGCTCTCATCTGCTGAAGAGCTAGCAACAGGGTATATTGTCTTCACGGTTCTATGCTTACCACGCTGATGGTGCTGAAATTGCATTGCATCAACTTTACAGACAGGTTTCAAATTCGATCCCACGAGGAAGTCGCCTAGCCTGTGATTAGGAGTCCGCACTTAGAATGAGTTGCAAGCTCATTGCGGTAAACTGCCATAACAAGTAGGCGTATTTCTTCCCGCTCAATCTGATGGGATTTCGCCTCTCACAGCAACAGTACACCATTAATCGCTTGCCCTTGATTAATCACCAAAATGCCTCTTATCTTAATTGAGCACCCACCGCTAACAGCTACTAACAATCGGTACAATTACGGTGACTTTTCGTTCTTTACCACTCGGATACTCCATGCTGCAACTGTAAATGCCGCCTTATTGCGCAAACCTTTTCCTTTGTTTGCAACTCTCATTTTTAGCACTCATGGACGGAGTGTAGGCCATGAACTTCAAGCACATGGTTTTATAGCACAGGCGGTCGCGGATACCACAACCAAACCGGTCGGGTAAACCACCAGCGTCTCCATGAGGGCCCAACACCTACGAGGCGACAAGCAAACTGAATAGGGAACCAGCAGCGCGGCGCTTGCGATTCAATTTACTAAGCCAGAGCAGTTATGCGATCGAGGTAGCAATGTGGTTCATCATCACTGCACTTGGTCTGTGCGTGTACCTGCGAGTTGAGGTTCTGCATTACAGATACTGACTGTTGATTTATTTCCCCAGTGTGGCTGCTTTCGGTGTGAATGTTGACATGGTACCTAGCTGTCGAAAAACACTAGCTCGATTAAACTGACTCCAAGAGACAGTTGATCGTTGCTTGGGGATTATTGGTCCTCGTAATCCTGCCAGGCTCATTGACTGGTTCCATCCTGTGTGGAACGGCCCAGTCACCGAATTTTGTACGTCAGGTACACATGAATCCCAATTCGGATAGACAGAGGTGGTGCTACTGTGCATGCTGAAGGCTTGTGGGCCGGCAGCACTGATGAAACATAAATCACATCAACATGCCTCCCTCGTTTATTCCTTCGGGTTTTTGCACTGCATATGGTGTGTGTGAATGAAGCCTTGGGTGGTGCAGCTCAAGCCAACCATGGTCCCTGTGTTTACGCAGACGTCCTGTGGCTTTCCTATGTGGGAGTACGGACAGACAAATCCAGAATCGGATGCCACCAGACATATAGCGTTCGTAGTTGGCTGGCGAACGTTTTCCTTACGTAGAATATATGCACTCAGGTGACCGAAAAAGTCATGATACTCAGGACGCACTTTGGCTGCACAACTGTTGCCTCCTAAGGTTATATCTGTTCAAATTGTCCTTGTTTGCAGAACCATAATATGTACGGCCTATTGTTTTCTCAATCTTGCAATTATCGAGTTCTGTTAAAATTTATCTATGCGAAGTCGATAACAGCATTACCGCTATCGCGTTGCCAGCAACGTGAGAAATGAATTTCGCACTATATAATACGGTTAATCCCCCAGTCTCAGCCCATAAGAGTTGATTCCGCGTTGATCGTATTTACTTTTTAATCACCCGCTGGCCACATTTTTTCCGAAATTAATTCCTTCAAATAGTTGAAAAGTTTTGATCCTAAATATTCTGATTGTCGTTCTGACGTAGTTATTCTTAGTATGGATGATGCACTAGATTCAACAAAAGTCTTGACGGTTTATTCCTGGTGTGGGCCAGAATGCTCTGAAGCGGTGCCAGGCTTTGAAGGACCTCCATTCAAAAATAATGCATCGAACGGTTATGCTTCTCTAACAAATTTTCCTGTCTAAATCTTACCGAAGATTCACAAAGATAACTGACCCTGAATTTATGTACAAAGCAACGCCCGAGCGGTACACTGATTGACCTTCGTAACGAATGCCTCTACTGAGTGACACCATAAGTTGATGAATATCCAGTTATCGTGGTTCTCCATCACTAGGTAAATTGTTATCATTCCTTCTTATTCAATCTGTGGATTATTTGGTTTACTCAATCAGGCTACTTGTGTATTTGATCTAAGTCACATCAACACTCTGGTCAGCTAAAATCCAAAGTGGTAGCTGGCAATCACTTATTGGCGTTGTGTTTTGCTTATAATTGTTCTACACTTCGAGCCGATTACGTTGTTTGTGCGCCTAAACTCTAGGCTAAAAGTTGGATGTTGTAGACGGCGTAGCCTAAACACTGTGATTACACCACAATTGTTGCGCGTTTTTCTTTCTGCAAACCTCATGCTAAAGCAGAACTTTACCTTACACATACTTGGAAATGATGTAGCTATTTGATTCAGGAATTCGTTCGTTAATTAAACAGGGATATTATTGCGGCAGCGTAAAGTCACATTGTGGAAGGCTTCACGAACCAGTTTTGTCTGTCTCAGTTAGTGTGTTAAAATTGTGGCGAAGCTTAAGCCTTACTTTCATTAATACTATCAGCTTTCGCGTTATCGTAATCCAAAAGTTAGCTTCTGTTGACATATACTACACTATGCCCAAGATTGTGCTAAAATAAGGTGGTACTCAAACAATTGTTTTAAACTGCGCAAATATGGTAGGGGCTCGACGTCTTCTGATGCACTAACTCAATTTTACTTATTCGCTTCTGTAGATCGGCCTGTGTTCACTGAATCACCTTCATTAATCCCCTAGGTAACGACATTTACCTCTATGTAGGTTAAAGCATGACACGACTGAGTATTCCACTGATTCCGCAACACGGTTTCCGTAACGGATTCCGCAACAAATCCCTCATTGACACCACGCAAGTTGCCACTGCTTGTTTGCGGGCAACATGTGTCTCCAATTGGCCGCTCATATTCTGCTCTAGTTCGGATATCCCTCGCTTTTCATTGGTCGACTCAAAATGTGCTCAAGCTCACGGATAAAACTGGTGCGAATCAGCTGACAGGTTGCTTCTTCCCATTGACGTCGGACGCAAAATTATTGCAGTATGGACCATCAATTCAGCTCTATGGTGTGTCCAGCTCCCGTCCTCTCTGGTCCTTATGACACACCACAATCACAGTCGCCATTCGAAGCAACAGGGATGCATGGTTACTCTACTGGTGAGGCTGACTCCGTAGTCTTTCAATCGTCCAACCACAATACACAAGATACGAAGCAATATCTCAGGAATATGGGCCAGATTGCTTGCAAATCTTTAGATACTGGTAAGTTCATGCAATGAACTAATTTATTAGCACGTATCGCGGTAACTTTTTGCAAAAATAGCTTGAAGCCGTTGTAGGAGTTACAAACAATGGGTTGTTTGCACAAGTGTTTCCCTGTCCATCAAACACATGCAACTCTTATCTGGGTAAATGACGTCGTAACCATGCTCTACGCAGGGCGTGAAGTGCTATGTGACGATGCTCATACATTTAGGAAAGCATTTTTCAAGTGCCTGGCTCCATCGTTTTTGTGCGATAGCTAAGAAGCTTGAGAAAATGTTCCCGAATTTATAGGACGTTGAGAACCTTTTAACTGTTGAATGCAGCGCCGTAGCTGGCGTACAAAAATATTTAGTGGTTTGCCATTCTAATTCGTGTATAGTCGATGAGTTTGGTGAAAGCTCTTCTTATTCAAGGTTGAATGGACATTTATACAATTACATAAAATACGACTCAGTCATCTAGTCTTACATACTTGATCACTCAAACGATTGGGCTAATTACCATTGTCTGGTTTCCATATTTCAGTAAATCACTAGTTGCGTTATTTGTTAGTCAGTATATTATACAAACATAACGGCTGCGGAAACGCTGTTTTGTTTTGAAATATTTGTAGCGAATGTCTTAACATGTGTTACTTTGCGCTGTCACGAGGGGTAAGATAAGGATATTAATCTTGCGCACATCGATTCCCAAGGATCAGTACACTAGAGGGGCACAGATTATAGGTTACTCCTTTGCAATGTCAGGGGCCTGGATCGCTTTAAGCTTAATTTACGCTCATCACATCACCCGCATCCACCAGAGCCTTGTGTAGTTACAGTGTACTTGACAGTCATTCAGATGCCGGACCAATGCATGCCAGTCCTATGAGTAGCCACTTAGGTCCTTAAGTGTGAAGTAATCCGGCGGAACATTCATTTATTGCGCTCTTCTGACCAGGTCGAATAACGTGCCAATTACTCCCGTTTGTGTATATCTCGTTTTGAAATTTTTCACGAGAAGAAGGGGTTGAAAAGAGCCAGCAGCAATAATCGTGTGAAGCACGGACTAATATGACGTCCATCTAGTCGGGGGAGAGAAAAGTCGTGTATGCGGGTAGGTGTACATCATGTCCTGTATGCCACGAAAAACGGCTGCTTTGAAAATTCGACATAACGGTGTTGAAACTTAGTAGTGCTTGTTGACAGCCACAATGTGTGGCTATGCTGATTAGAAGGCCTAGGCAGTCATAAACCGGAAATGGTTTGGGAGGGTAAGAAGACAACCGAAACGAGAATGTTTTTAGGAGACATTGGTAGTTGCGTTTGCCAAAACAAAGTGCAGGCTCGTGGGAAAGGTTTAACGGGAACATCAGTTGAAAATCAGGATAATTGCTATAAAAAATGCCACAACTTAAACGAATGTTTACCCGCATAATCTACCAAAATTTTCGAGCTTTTGATTCGTGCCAAAGAGATGTCGTTGGTGCATCTGCTATGTAGCAAAATAGGGTACACCTTGGGAAACGTATGCCAATCCCAGCCAAAAGTGGAATGAAAAGTCCACCTTATAACCAAAGTAACCAGCATTTATTGATGGGCCTGAATAGTGGCTTCGGTTTCAGACACCCACTGTTATCGGCATACGCCTAACGGTCGCAAAGTGGTGGGAACTTTATGCAACATACTTTCCATACACTTGGAAAACCTACGTTACTTTCGGGGATTGTACATTCACATTTGCCACTGGGAAAGCAATAAGGATTTCTAACACTCACACATCACAAAAGTCTACTGGCTGCATTGGATGGCCCATAGCTGTCAGTCGAGCTATGAATAAATGAGTTTACATTGTTGCAAGACTTAATCAGCGCTGTAATTGTTCAGTTTTTGGTGAGTCATTTGAAGTTGTGTAAAATTTTCACATAGTCATCCTAGATCATTTTGCAAGTAAACAGGTCAGCACTGAGCAAAAGGAAATCAGTGTTGTGGTTCAGCCCCGAAACAAATTTCATGGGGCTAACAAATTTTTGAAGCACAGGAAAACTGAGCTAGATAAAACCAAAGCAGGCCTTCATTCTCGCTTGAGTATACAGGCGAAAAAGTATCATTAAGGTGTTCTATACAGCCCCTAAAACCACGGCTACTACAAGTTTGAACTGTGTTCTTCAACTTAATCCTGGATTATCTGTTGGATTGCCGCAAACAACAATGAGCTAGAGACTCACAGAAACGGATCCCAGTAAATTTAGTAATAGTTTATTAATAACTGGCTTCAATTATCTTGCCTTCTCGATGACATCTGGCTTACTCATTTTTCTCAGTAAGGTGAGATCCTAGCGAATGTGTGGGCTCTAGTTAATAAGTAGGTTTTGCGGTGGTATTGGTTAGTTTCTAGATGAATCTTCTCTTCAAGTGAAATATCTTACGATAGAGCAGGTAGACAATAGCTAATTTGATGAAATTGTATCAAGTACAAAGCAAATTTCCCCAGAAAGACCAGTTTAAGTTGCTGTCGCTTAGGCAGACTATCGAAGCAGTTAGCCAACGCTCACAATGTTATCCTGTCCAACTTCAACTACAGTAAAGCATCCGGAGTTGACCAGCTCCAAATCCTGATCACTTCTCTTAGCTGACCGGTTAATTTTCTTTGCTTGAAACTTCACCAAGTAGGACTTATGGATCCAGATCTCTGTGTGTTGACCAATTTGGTCTGGTCGCTTGAGCGGTCAACTTACGAAGGGGCTAATAAACGAGTGTTAGTAGGATGACAATTGTCCAACGTTTAAGAGTGAACAAGAAATGTCAACGACAGTGCGCCGTCCCTTTACTTTCATTATTACTTGGCTACATGCCACAAAATATTATGCAATTCAAATATGAACTCAGTCCTGGGTTTATGCCTGCAGCTCGTTGAATTGTGTCAACACCGGAGCATGGACGCTTCTTTTGAACCATTGTCAAACTTACTGGCAAAGTTTGAGTTCTAATTTTCTGCCTCACGAGAGCTAAGTTTGTCTGACATGTTTCTCATTCACCATTTATTGACAGGTGGTCAAAATTATAGAAGATCTTCGTAACTGGGCCACTGTCGAAGCAACGATGTGTATTTTTGATGATTGCTATAAAATAACAGCGCGTGTTGTATCGATTCAAATATTCCCACCGTTGAGGGTGCCATTTGAAAACAGTGTAGCGTCAGCCGTGAGAATTTATGGCTAGTTGTCTGGACGACATGTTCCTGTTTGGGAGTAACCCATGGATTTGTCGTCTCCAGGGCACCTGAAACTTGGGTTATCAGTGAGCCATTTGGTACTGCGTTTCCTCAGCATGTTTTAGATGGGCCATTAAGATGAGGACAACCCATCGCATTAGAAATTGTAGGCGATCGCTAGACGCACCTGACTCGAGACGGAGAGGTGTGTAGCTACGGGATAACCGAAAGAATGGTGGTAGCTGTGACACTGTCGTTTCGTTACAATGCTGCCCTCTAACCACAACAAGTCGGCTGACGACGAAGTGGAATTACGAAGTTAATAAAAGACCACCGATTACGTATTGGTATGAAGTAAAGTGTGTAAACTCGCCGGGCTAAACGTAAAATGACAACCTACACTTACACAAATCATTCAATATAAATTCCTTCCAATCTATCTCAGTAGAGTTTTCCGAAAACCATCAAAGATAAACACTTACAAGGACAACTTTTTCTTCTCGCAAGTGTCCAGTGACTGATCTACAACAAATGGGTTGCTTCCCTACTGTAAGTTAAAGAAAACTTTATTAAAACAGGCAGTCCACTCCAGTGTATTAAAGAAGTGAGTAGAGACGAGTGGTGAATTAGCTCAGCAGGAGTAGAGGGGTCTCGATTCTGGCTGCTTCAAATTGAACCACGACTGTAACAGAGATTGTGTATCGCAAACTATCCACCTGACTGGTACTCAAATCCAACAATTACTTAGTGCAGTGTCCGTGAATTCCCCTTCCCATCCACAGCTTCGTAAACCGTTTGCGTGCTGGAAAAGTTTCAGAGTGGATACCTCTAGTTTGCAGCCAAATGTCATTTAGCCTGCTTTAATCAAGAGGATAATCACTCAGATTAATGAAACACTGATGTTGGTTTGATACTATTTTCGGTTTGACTTGAGTATCCACTTGCGATTAGAGTGCGATCTCAACTCTCAGCCTGGTGCAAGCTTTGCCTCTAGGTAACCGTTCGGTCACTGAGACTGTATCTGAAGCCGAAGAGCGTTAAGATTTACTTGCTGGCAACACCACCATCTGCAACTGATTTTCATGCTTGCTGGCATTCTTCAGGTAGGGATGGCTGGAATGGGACTTGAAATGGGACGTTAACTAGACCGAAATTTGCTCTTAACGAAAGCCTTTCTTGTTCTTGCCGAATGTACCTACGCCTTTATAACAATCCTACACATCATCACCGAGCAATATGAGCGTAATATACTGAATAGTTAGGTGGGCGAATCAGCCTCAAATTGGTAGTGAAACGTCAACGAGCTATCATTTCATCTGTTATCATAAGCTAGCTGGTTTTTCAAGGGCTTCGGTAGCGGCGTAGTAAAACGTAGTTCCAAAGTACGTTTGCAACGCACGGCCACATGGTGAGAACCAAAATGCTTTTCTCGGATACCTCAAGCAGCCTAATACTCATTTTCACTAGAATTATTTAGATCAGAATCGATAGGATACATTATGTGTGGCGTTATAATGCACAGGCATCCGAGTTCCACATCGAGTGGATTATAAATTTTGCTGTTAACACCTGATGCACAGCAGGGATTTGATTATTTACACAATCATTAATTGATCAATAATTGTACACCGAATATTTCGCGTGCGGTTTTTCGTAATGGTTCTTTACGAAAGAAAATCTGCGTGATTTATTGTTTGAGACGCTGAATGGCATGGGTTATGGGTAGGATAATCACAAGACTAGGACCTGCATCTATTATGATCTTACGCTTGTAATCCAAGGTTATCTTTTTTTGTCAAACGTTGGTTATGTGCATTCACGTCCATTGTATATGTACAAAGAGAAAAGTTCAAGAGTTCATTCCGATTAATTAAAGCAAAGCCAGGAATGCGCTTTGACGTACCTTCGAAGGGTGCATTTCCAGTCACCGAAATTTTAACACTATTTTGATTCCATTTGCTGAATATTTAATTATTTTGATTAGTAACCCAGGACTTGCCCACAACTGAATTTGGGATTTCTCATGGTACTGAGCCACTGACAATCAATCTTAAACCTGGACTTACTTTGAGGCAGACTTCAAACATTCTGATAGCTGTGGCCGAATCCGACGCAGTGATAGTTGGTTGTTGCTCACCTCGAACCCTGTACTTTACAACAGATGAAACTGAAGCACTGTTGCTTTAATGTACCAAATGTAATTATGCGACGTCGTTTTAGGTGGGTATTTGGCGAGGTTCACCCAGTATAAAGGACCCCGGAAACGAGGTAGTTCGTTGATTACCATGACGTAATAAATTCAGGTCTATGAGAGTTGTCTTATTAAGATCATGGAACAGTGGTACTATACGGATAAAAAACCAATGTTTGATAAGTCCCGTGGGATGGTTTGTGGGAATAACGTTCGTTCAATGAAGTTACACAAAACAGAAGAACGCATCTGTGGACTCACCATATTAGCCACATTAACACATAGTTATATCCGTTCAGCACGCTTCCCTGGGGTTGATGAGTACAATGTTTGTCTACGTCTTGCCTTCCTTCAATGGATAGAAATCTGTTCAAGTAATCTAACTAGTCTAAAGCATCGTCCAGTCGTTATTAAAAAGGTGGGTAGCGTGGGCGCGGAAATGACATAAGTAGAAACAGCATTCCACGGTAGACAAACTCGAAGGGAAAAAGAATTCCGGTGACACTCAAGACGACTGTATTGGGTTTAAAGTTTCAATTTATGACCCCTCAATTTTGTGTTGCAGCTAAGCTTCAGTAGGTCTCGGCAAGCGTGACCAGGGTTTTACACTTTCTGGAACGCCAGTATGAGGTCACCCAGTAGATGGCGAAACCTTCCGCTGTACACTCCCGGGGCTTCTAGTCGCCTATGGTATTGCAGGTACGACAATCCCTCCACATCTTTTCTTGCCCATCGCTGTGCGGTCTCCAGTGCAACCAGGTCGCGTTGTAACTAGGGTTGCCAAGCCTGGATCGCGTACTCAACACGAGGCCTCACATAAGCCCTCCGTAACAGATTAACATGTTGGTTCGCGATTTTGGACGCCTTCAAAGACCAAGCCGAACAGCCGAGGTCGTCTTGGATCACCGACGCAGGGTCTCACTCTTGTGAGGCGGTTTTCAGAATGTCGCCCCAAGCTTAATTCTTACATGGGCTTGTGGCCGACATGCACGGTTTTGCACTTGTCCTTGTTAAACGGAATTAGATTTACCTGTTGCAGTCAAAATAAGTACCATGTTGCGTCCGGCACTTATTTTCTTTGCTTTATCTAGTTGTGCAGTAAAACGGATAGATGTGACAGCTATACACCACTGGAAATGACTTCAGAAGTTATCCAGTAGCACAAAATAGATAGCACATCTTATTCACCATTTGAATAAAAGACACCGGTGCAGGATTGTTTACGTGACCAGGAGAGCAATTCATCAGGATCATATGTTTCATTCCAATAAATTGGACTTCGGCTTAGCGATTCATTTCCGTCAGTAGTTTAGCTGTTTGGTCCTAATCCAATCTTTTTGTGTTATTCTTGCATCTGAGTATTCAAGCTTCGTGGTTGCAGGAAGCGTGTTCTGGACTTGACTTATGTGTTAAGAACTGAAACCACTTAACTCTAGACAACCGTATGGATTAACTTTATGTTGGAAAGTCATCAACTTGTGCTGCCGGAATGAAGAAGTATGTGGCAGATTGCTTGAAGGGTTATTTTGAAGTACACGTTGTGTGGTTGGATTGCGACGCTCAATCTCAAGATTGACAGTTGTTCGCCTCGGAGCGAGCTTTGGTTAATTCGATCACTAGGAGCGTTGTGCCAGGAGTTTCCCATCGTGACCCGGTGACTAGATGAGTGGAGGTCCCAAATCACATTCCAGTGGAAGCGGGTTAGAAGTCTGCTATCTCTGCCTAACGAGATCAGACAAGGTCGAAACGCGTAGTGGAATGCAGCGCTTTCGGGCGGGTAGCACTCAGTTTGCATAAGTATGTGGTAGCCTTTATACGTATAAAAACCCTAAACAGCAGGTAATCTCACAAAAACTAAGAATTCACTGGATTAACAAATGTAATGATCGATTTGATCGTTCAGATAGCATCCGTTGTCACAATCTGGGTCCATCAAAGGAAATGGAGTGAACTTCAAACTTTACCGTGGCAGATAAAGCGTGACTTCGAAAAAGCGATACTGGTGACTTGTGTCTTTTTGATGTCGTGCACAAAACAGATCATGTACCCGTTTAATGCAGCCAGCCATATCATGCTGAACGTCTTCGATTTCCCTGGTTTCAGCCGCCAAATTCTACTAGGAGCGCTCAAAGCCGATTCTCCTCCTAGCTTGCCTTATATTACACTTCAAGCAGCAAGGATTATTGATTGCTTTTCAGCAAATCAGTCTTCGTGTCCAACACCAAAGTTTCATCCATTGTGTCAATGTGAGATTAATTTGACAGAAGTCCATGGGTTTCATTCACAGAGTGTTTATATTCTACCTCTTCCCCTACGTGTTGGACTATAACATGGGCTCTTTCCCGAGTACCCTGCTTGAATCTAGGGATCATTCTAGTGTATTATGATTTCATTTCCCAGCCGTTGTTCAGAGCTGGTCCTGGATAAAAATGAATAGCGATCAGCAGAGACAGTTTGGGTAGTAGCTAGACTGGGTTATTAACCGCGCCGAACATTTCCATTGACAAATCAAATCCTGAACTACCAGCATTTGCCGCCATAGCAAGTCTATTACCTTCATCGGTGTTAGGTGGGCACTGGTGCATAGACTTGGCGAGTACCCGCAGGTTGCTAAAAATGTAGCTACTTTCCCTAAATATACATAATGTCATATGTGATGCCTGGAGTTAACCGTCCTACATAAGATATTCGATATCCTGATAATCTTTAATTTTTCATCAAATATAGTAAACATCAACAGTGATTATGATTGAAGACCCATTTAAGGATGTCCAAGTGTTGTCAAGCTTAACGATGAAGGAATATGTTGTCATCCTTATATTCTCGTTTATGAGGAACGTGTCAGCTTTACCTTTAATTCATTGCGTTATTTTTGAACCGCTCACAGCAGCACTGAATTCTGACATCTCGAACAACTCAACTCAAGCAAAGAAGGTGAGCAGGGAAACTCCAAACGCACCGTTAGATGCAGTGAGGCAACCGAAAAAGAGAGGTCCAAAAAAGAAGCCCTTAACCAAAGAAAGAGAAGTTCGCCTGAAGAATCGTCGGGTGCGTGCAAATGCCAGAGAAAGAAGCCGCATGCACGGGTTGAACCATGCACTGGAACTGCTCCGCCGTCATATTCCCACGTTCTCTGCAACACAACGACTGAGTAAAATCGAGACCCTACGTTTAGCAAAGAACTACATCAGATCGCTTTCAGAGTTACTGAATAGAAATGAATCCCCGTCTCCATTGGAGCTAGCATGTATTCTAACAGAAGGCCTATCACAGAATACAACCAATCTGGTCGCTTCAACTCTGCAAGTGAGTCCCCGATCGCTGCTTCAATTCCAAAGAAACGTCAAACCGGAATCCCACACACTCACGAGCACACCGTCAAAGCAGCCATCACGCAGTGCACTGAAGCAGGGACACACAACACGCAAGCTGGGTTCCGTGCTTTATCCCACAGTGGCAAACAAGCAGTGTGAGTCAACTTCGGATGATGGCTTGTTTGATAACGACAATTCGGTTGACCTATCCAACTTCAGCGCGGATCCCTATTATACGCCACCGGCACAACTAAAGTCCACCACATCCCAATCTGTGATACACATGCCCATCCCGTCTACCTTCGATGTCTCCTCTTTCCCCCTACAGCAGACTCAAAGCGAACTCCCCGGTTATCAGATCCCACAGCCGTTTTTATCTAGTAACCTGTTTGATTATTCCACAGGAACGTCTATTTTTGAGTATCAAGAAAAGCGAGTACCAACCTACAATTTAACAGAGTACACACAATACGGAAGTATGCTTCCTCCACGTGTTTGACCACACTCACCGAGTTGCCTTGACGAAACGTGCAAGTGATACCTAAACCTAATCTTCACGGTTAAAGTCTTTGCGTTGTGTACACTCCGATTTAATCTTTCAAGCTGTACAGTACAGGCTTTGCGTAACTCGCTTAGCAAAATTTTATACTCAGATATCAATATTTTTGGAAGTGTTTTTAGGCAGCTTATTATTTTATGTCCCAGTAAAAATGGAACAGTTATCTTATGTTGCCTCGTCCATTTTTGCTACCATAGATAAACAATTCATTTTTCTACCTTCTTTAAATCCTGTAACATATATTTCAGTTTTCTTTTTTGACCAACAAGTAAACCTAGAGAACTTCCATTAGTTCCGATGGTATTCTAGCTTCTTTTGACCTATGCAGACACAGCCAACCTTAACTGGTGATGAATCTAGGTTTAGGCATTCTTCGTGTTGAGAATGACCAAGTATAAACCCATTATATTACACCGGGTGGATCAGTGATCGGCACTCAACACGGGGCTGAAACATTTGGGAAACTAATCATAAGGTTTAATCGCAAGTCGTACTCTTGAAATTTGTAACCGTTGGAGCGTTTGCATTAATCACATTGCGTACTGAGCGTACTAATAACATAGCTTTTCGGTTCGAATAATTTCAGAGGATATCCCAAGTTCTTGAATCAGGCATGCCTGATAGAGTAGGTTAGAGAACGTAAGTTTTCTATTTATTGAATGTGTCTAACTTCTACTTCTAGTTACCAGTTAGATATTAGTTACATTCCAGGCTTACCTCTCTTGGATTCGTATGAATCCAACCAAGTAACCTGGGAACAGATTTTGTCTCCACAACAGGCAGTATTTTGCTGATCTTAGTTTTCAATCCAGCTAAGAAGAAACGACTCAGACCAAAGACATGCAACTGTTTCCGACAACAGGCACTATAGTGAGGTTATAGTTACGGTAACAGCAATGCTTACAATCCATCTTCATGTATTAATGTTGATCTGGGGCTTTGATTCCGGTTCGATTTATGAACAATCCCTCCCACTTATTTGTCGAGTAAGCTGAACTCTTCGTGAGTTCTTCAGTAGCCTACCAGACAACATAATTGCGAAAGGGATCGGGCTCGAACATTAGCTCCTGAACAGGGTGTTGAAGAGTACTTCACCTTGTGTACAGAGAAGTGACGGAAAGGTATCAAGCAATTTTAAGCCTACAGATACCAGTAGTTTATTGACTCATAATACCATGAGTTGCAGCAGCAAATGCGCGTTTTAGCAATTATATGGGACGTACTTTTGCAGCAGTGAAGACTAACATGTGCACGTGGAGCATGTTTCACTGTTGATCAGTTAGTGTGACATATTTCTAAAGCAGTAGTGCTATTTTGTTCTGATATATTCCATTCGAGATAATGAGTATTACTAAGATAGATGTCAAAGAAAAGCACTGAAGAGGAATTGGAGAGTTTCGGTAAACCTAGCTCGTCTTCCAAGCTCTTGAGCCTGGAATACCGAACTGTTGACTCAGTTGGAACTGCTTTTTTTGCCCATGACCCTAGCGCATTAAGTAAAGCTATGTGTAAACGTATTCTTCGTAATACTCGCTTGGCGTCAAGATAGAGGACAAACTACGCAAAGGAAGCTACTCACCGACACCTGCAGTATTCGGACTTATTTCATCTACTTATTGGAACGGTGACTTCACTACTCCTATGCAGTTCGCACCGAGTTGTATCCAATGGTTTGCAAGTGTCTAGCATAAAAACATTTTTGTATTATACGAGCCAGAGGGGCAATCATAGAAAAGGCCAAATTTTACCATCAACATATGATGGGTCTAGCCTATTTACCTGTATCGCAAGCAGTAATGCTGACATGCCTGTTATCGAAATCGCACTCGACAGATGTAGTCTCTTTCACTAAGCACTACATCTTTCTAGCTTCGACGACTAACCGACTAGATGGAACGCTGGTTTGTACCCTTGACATATTTGCCCACCAAGCATTCGGAGACACAGACATAGCAGTTGAGTCTGGCTTAGTTCTATACCATCCTCTGGTATCGATATAACGATTACGTTGCATCAAATATGAATAGTCCTATGTTTTTATTTATAATGATACCATTCACAGACCCACTGTTAACAATGATGGCCAATTTCCATGCATTCTCCAAGAATATCCTCCTATGCAAAACCTCTGCGACATCAACTGCAATTACTATGTCATGTTGACACATTACACAATCCTGCGAAGAGTCAGTATTGATGCTTAGAAATAGCGAAAGCTAAAGACCATGAATTACCCACAGTAACAGCGCTATCCAAATCCGGTTTCATGTTTTCTTGTGCCTCTGGGTTAGAAAAGGGGAATGTGACTCGATGGCGAAATGTATAGGTTACCGGCTGATACCGGCATATAGATTTATGCGCTACGTACTTGGTCAGAGTCGCATTCGTCGTGCAACATGAGAATTTCCTCTCAGCTTCCAGCTACGCGTAAGTATGATGCAACCCAAAAACTAAGTTACTGTGTCGCCTCAAGTAGTGACTCTCAGCTAGCATATTGAAGTGGTAGTCGATATTATAATCTGCCCGTGCAGTGGAGACAACCGACACTAATGTCGACTCCCTGCCGCAATTTGCGACTGAAGGACACAGACAAACTATAGTCATGGTACAGTTGACCTCCAGCGCGTCAGCCGACTCGTGCTCCCCCTGCCTGCACGTGTTGGCCAGCCGTCAAAGCGCACGCCCACAATTTCAGGCGTTTGTTGTCTCTCTCGCGTGCTGTCACGTCTTCACGCACCTCTGCAAACAATAATAATGAAGGTGGGGTCGCGTGTAACCTACTTAATAGAAAAACCACAACCAGAACGAACATTGTCCAATGCAATTTGAAAGCCATTGTTTAAGCAGAGTGCAGGATAAATTGGTAGAGAAATTGGTTATTCGCCTTGCAAATGCACCAAGGTACGGTTGAGCGGTTCACTCCGTCTACGTTGTTGAGTCCTTGATGAAAATGTGATGAAGTCTGGGGGTAGTGTACATTCGCCGTTGTCCGGGGTGCGATCTGGTCACCTTACGCTGTCCAGGCTAGGCTGAACAGATCTGTGACTGCAAGTAGACCCAAGAGGTCTGCGTCAATTGAGTGACCGCGCATTATCGAACGTGCCATTCACCTTTCGATCCATATAGCTCCTATGCAATTCAACCCCAATAAATAAAACGTTGAGTTATGCAGATAACAGCAATAACTGACTCGGGTCCGGTCCATGAAACTCACTACCTAAATTATGGTTGGAAATTAGTAAAAAATATGTATAATTCACACAGGGGAGTGTTCGACAGTGTTTCGTTCTTTGAGGATGAGATGCTTAGCGTGGAACAAGTTCATGCGGTGTAGGAGCCCTTACTCCTCCAATATCGATGAGCATTCGCCTGTAGCAGAATATCACGATGGTTATGTCAGGGATTGTTTTCATTAACAGCCATTGTCACAAAGTCGACCAAATCTTGCGTATCACGTGATCATAAGCACACTCTATTGGGGCGGGTCAAGCTACGCCACAGCGAAGGGAGAGCATTTTCCGAAGCCGATTGCATTCATAGGTTTTTATAATGGAGAAAAAGGTGAACCTAACCTAATGACGAACTCCTGAAACAAGGTGTAAAATCCAAACCACGTACCCGTAATTGGTGAGGAATGTTGCCTTTCGTGCTAAGTGTCCCCAGTGACTGGTATATTCTTGCTTTCGCTAGCCATAACTTATGCAAGCATGGAGTAACGGCTTATCTCCACGAATTTTAGTGGTAGCTCAGACCTATACTGTAATACCCTCTTCATATTTTGCATACTTGAACTCAGATATGCCGTTTTTAGAAAACCTACGGAGTAAGAACGTTGGTTTCATTGAATTGAGTGGTCAATTAGCAGAAGGTTTTAGATAGATTAATTAGTTGCTGACCATAAATTTTGGGCTGAACAGACGAAAGTCCGCTATCAAAATCAATAAAGTTGCATATTGCCTTGTTTCAAATGTATTTACGACGCTTTATATGTCCAGAGGTGCTCGCGCTTAATTTTTGCATACAAACAGCAATATAAACATTTGATTAGTAAGTATTCAGTCAGTAATATTTGTCGTTGTGGCAAGAAACTCTAACTCAAATCACGCTGAACACGATGATTGAAACATGATTTGTTGCTGTTTTGCAATCTGCTACACAAAATAACCTATTCCGTTTCGCCTGCACTCGAAGCACAACTTGGCTCTGCTAGAGAGCTTTACAACAAAGATTGTGAACTGGTTCTACCAAAGGCCAGAAACCACATGGGCCTCACTTGCTTTCCGGTCGGATATACTTGCCTGTGGAACAAAATGCCAATCACACTGATGGTGTGATGACGCGGCAACATTTATTTACAGACTCACAGGCAAGCTTGCATCGCAAACGATACTGAATCTATTCACAAGGAATGATATACTCAATTAACTCTGTCAAGAAGAGCCGATAAATGTCCATACACCTGTTTCCAAACCATGTTTTTCGTCTCATCTATCCACCAGATCGCTATTACACATGCTTATCGCCCATCCAAGAGTGTGGTAACTGCCGTACTTGTTGATCTGTGCTGCTACAGTCACAAGTTCGTGCTATTGTTAGTAGATACTAGCTAAAAATACTCGTCCCCGACGACATCAGCGCCTATATTCAGACTGATTCGTGTCATTCATTCACTGTTCAATTTTTAAAAGTGTGCCTTTGCAATCTGGGTCACGGGTCTCCTCAATCACGTACGATTTTGTCTAATCATTGGTTTGCTACTGAACGGTACTATGTCGAGAGGAAACTAACAAAAGCTTTTATGGCTGGCGGGTGCTATCACCATTGCTGATGATATCCCCGCCTAACCTAGCAAGTTCTTCGTCACTCTAGATTTGTCCAGCCAAAACATACGAATAGACACTTCGGTGCCATCGATATAATTTGCTGAATAATAAACCGTTTGCTAAGATCCAACGCAGCAGCCTACTATACCGCTACAAATCAACGAAATACATTACTTACGTGTGAAAATAGAGATCCCATGTTAGAAAATCGTCAGGAGCATCATTTTTTACATTGTTATGCCTAGAACCGTTCACACTGCCTCTAATCCAGGTGAACAGGATTTCCATGCTTCGCTCAAAATCCCAAGGGTTCCGGGACAGAATCTCGCGTTGCTAGACCTATCTGATGCGTTCAGTCAACTGACAGAGTGGTGGTAGCGTGCGGCGTTGTGAGATGGAAATATATAACCTTCCAAGGCTAAAATTATTTAAGTATATTTGAATTAAAAGTGCACAGCATATCAGGCAATTT